GCCCAGTTCTTCGGGGAGTGGGGGGAGTAAAGGGTAAATATGCGTACAAGTCAGTGTTTTATCCTCCCAGACAAGTCTGGTACCAATTAACCGACCCCGGAGGGATGGAAGGCTTGGTTGGCCCGGGCGACTCACGACCCAGGATTTGATCCCCGGACCGCTCGCGTGGTAAGCGTGCCACTTGCCACTACACCACTTCCGCCCATTGTGGTGTTAGTGCATCTAAAACCTTGCAAAGCATCTTTCCTTCTTGTTAAAAATAGGACTCGGCCTTGGGCAGAGGAGGAAAGACTCCAGAGTGCGTGAGCCGCTTTCATTTTCCCCGGAGTTCCTCCTCTCTTGTTTAGTTGTAAAGGATGCCCCCGCATATTGCGTTAGCGCCGAAAGCAAGAGACTAGTGCGGTGATTTCTTTTACCGTCTTGGCATTCCATCAAATTCATCAGGATTAAGAGTGCTCTTCGGTACTTGCGCAGTACTAGGAATGGCTTAGTTTGAAGGATATCTTAGTATTCATGATTGCTAAACAAGTAAACATCTTACCTCACTCCGTCGGTAGGAGATTTTGTCACACTGGCAAGAAGGTGGATTGCAGCATGGTGTCAGCTGGAATGGGTCGATTTTGGTTTATCAAGGTGGTGAAGGAAAATGGAAGGTGACTTACTTTTTTGTTGAAATGGCCAAGTTGGTTAGGTACTGGTATTAATGATTCACGATGTTCCCTCAATACCTGGGCGCTAAGCGCTCTCATCTGAACATTTATTTCAATAACAAGACTTATTCAAATTGCAAGCAATTGTAGATTCAGACATACCTCGAACACGTACTCGCTTTCTTCCAGCGCAAACCGTTCATAAGGGTCCTTGACGAGATCAAAAACCAGCGGTGGGTTATGCATGATCAGCTGTTCATCTGGACAGGTTTGTGAGACGTACCTGAAAATGGATTTCTTTAGGCTCTAGAAAAAAGTTTTATTGAGACTTTTAGCTGGATTAGTCCTTGGTGAAGTTGAAATTGAATTTGAATAACTTAGCTTACTCCGCCCACTTCACAAGCTCCGCCCACCTTACAAGCCACCCCCCTAAACTGGGTAGAAAAAACGTGAAATCACAACCGATCATTCACAACATGACGTGAGTGAATTACATAGAATCACATGCACTAATTTATTGTTCAAAACAAAAATGCTGAATGACATTGAAAAATAGGCTCATTAGAGCTTCCGAAAATTGGTTTTCATCATTCTAGTCATTATCTCGTCATAAGTTCAGCGTGATCTTCGATGTGTACTTACATCATATGTCTTAAAGGCACAACCCAGGCAGAGGTCGTATAACTCTTCTCTTCGGTCAGAAGTATAGAACCCTAGGGGACAATCACAAATGTGGCGTTCACGTGCACGGAATTCGACCGACAAGAACGCTTTGGGCTTGCAAAGTAAGCTGCTCGAGCTGCAGCGAACGAGCTCTCTTATCAGGCCGTTGTCTGGTGCTCTCTCATCTGATGCGCTCTCTCGCCCCATACTCTCCTCTTCGCGCTTAGTCTCTCGTTCCTTTAGCACAGCCAATTAGGAAGGTGAGTGAGCCCTCAACCTGAGCGTTTTCGACGGATTCTTTTCCTTTTTTCTTCACTGCCGGCCCACTTGGCACCGATACATTCACATTCGTGTGCAAGAGCCACACCAGTGCGATCCTGGGGCATGCCTTTAACGTTTAATGAACCCTGGTTCAATAGACCTAATCTCAAGCCGCCTATGAGGAGGTGTGAGGTCGGAAACAAAGCCAAACCCACTCACCAATCGGCGCGAGGTTTTCCATTCGGGCAGAAGAATGGAAGATTCGCATCAAGGGTATCGTTCAGGAATATCGGAGACGTTCGATAATGAATCTGAAATTCCGAGTATTAAAACTCCGACTGAAGGTTCCATAATATGCTATATGTTACGTTTTTAGTCAAAATAACCTTCACGTGAGCTGCTACAGGCCTTAAATCTTGCTCGCTAAACAGTGCTTTATGATGTGTCTGCGTCTCGTTTGTCCGCTATGATCTCTCTTTTGTTCTCTCAGTGAAGCACCCAGTGCTTCTTTTTGAAAGCAAGTTCCAGCTCCCGAACAAGATGGTCTTCATTTCCAAAGTGACCGCTATCTCTTTTTATTTTCCCTTCACGAGGTCCACTTCATACCTCTGCTTTCAACTTCAGCGAAACTAGGAGATCGTAAAGCTGCGTTTCAAAACACTGAGCCTTCAAAGTGGAACCCGATGGGCGTAAATTGGATGACTAAGTGGTTTTCGAAAACAGACCATGGGTTCCGCAATAAGAGAACAAAAGAGAGATCACAGTGGACAGCAAGACGCAGACAATCCCATGTGTTATTTTAGCCGTCATTGATCGAATGGATTTCAAGCATTTTCCCATGCATATGAGACCTAGAAATATCTTTCACATACCTTAATGTTTCCAATTCGAATCGCCATTAGTTTCGAGTTGCAGTAAAAGATGATAGGTCGTTTCCGCCCCAGATAACCCGAAGGCTCGTCACTTGTTCCCTGTCAATTCATCCAGTATATTTGTCCCGTCGAGCGGCATTTGTCTCCTCTGAAAGAAAAAAAGAATTCTGTACTCATTAGTCACTTGTACGAAAACCCGTTTTTACCTTGAATATTTAGGCACATATTGACAATGACATAATGACAATTGTCAAAAAAGCAGCACTTTCGCGTGTTCTTTGATGCACGTCAGCAGCTGATCAAACATTACTCTTGACGATTTCTTGGGAGAGCTCCAACTTTCTGTGCTTACCAGGAAGGTCTTTCAGGGCGTGCCAAGCTTTTTGAAAACGGTCTTTTGCATGATATAGGGGCACATGCGGGAACCACAGAACCATGGTTAATTTTTCCTGAACGGCCCTCTGAATACCAGAAAAGGGGGTCCTCCCTAGTTCGATTCCTCGTGGTGAAAATTTTTGCATTTCGAGTTGACGTTCGTATAATAACTTCCTTGAGGTTACGCACCAATTCTTGTCCACCGAGAAAACAGCTTGCTGGGATTTTCGGGTGCAATCGATTCCAATTCCGGTCCCCTGGTCGCACTCAGTAAATTTCCGATCATAAAACCTTGTTTCAGCTACAGCTGACGCCAACACAGAAAAAAAAACATTATGGTGCTTCTCGTAAATATGTCAGGCTGTTGAAGTTGTTAGTGAGGGTAGGGGGAAGGCTGTACGCGGTAACTACTGCTCAGCACAAGGCTCTTAGATGCGCTCTGAATGCGTTACCGTTCATGGTTTGCATGGGCTTTTTAATAACTTTGAATTATTTTAATTCCTTTAATCCCTTTGTAAAGCGTTACACAGTGTTATCTTTATGAGTTCAGAGAATCGAGAATTTTCCAGCTTTTTTCAATTTTTCAATTTCCAGAATTCCCAATTCGCAGTGGGAGGAATATGCTCATTTTGTCATTTGACCATCTTCCTAAGGAGGAGTAGGGCGAGCGTGGGTTTTCTGATTTATACTCAATATCAATAGTCCATGAAATTTGATACCCTACTCTTAAAGTCATGCCCCAAACAACGTTGGTGTGGCTCCTGCCCGCATGAAATACCTAATGTAAGTGAAAATCGGGCAGCCTTGAACCAAAAAGGAATAAGAATCGCTCCTGTTAGGGTTCATTCACCTTCCTAATCGGCTGCGCTAAGGGAATGAGAGACTAAGCGCGTAGAGGAGAGTATGAGGCGAGAGAGCACTACAGATAAGAGAGTGCCAGACAACAGCGTGATAAGAGCAAAAAAATCTGCAGCTTGACAGCATTTTGCGAGGCCTAAGAGCTCTTGTCGGTTGGTTTTCGTGCACGAGAACATCGTATTTGTGATTATCCTCTGAAGGTCTATACTACTGACCGAAGAGAAGCGTTCACACGAAGTCTGCCTGAGGTGTGTTAACTATCTGATTAACACAAGGAATGTAGATATGGTATTATACTATTGAGCAAGGATCCTTGTGAAACCAAGAAATATCTTTCTCGATGTAAACAACTCTGAACTGCTAAATTAGCTATCCCGCAGAAAAAGGACGACTTCCTGCTTGCTAATTTTGCGGTTCTCGGTCTCTCGTTTTAACGTGCAAGCATTTGGAATGAGATGAGGCAGATGCAGAAAGTGACTGGCTTACCGAGATATGGCACGTCTGCATATCCCGGAAGGTAGCGTAGAGATCCATGCTGCTGATGACCTCATTCGACACCCGTCCGGCTTTTACCGTACCTGGCTGCCAAGCTATGAACGGGATTCGGAAACCACCCTCGTACGAATTTGCTTTTCCTCCTGAAGCAAAGTGGCCATCAGGGTATGCATAAAATTTAAAAGGCAATACGCACGCTTTATAGACACGGTGGAGCCTCCATTCAGACACAGCTCAATATGTGGTCCATGGTCGGACATTAAAATGACAAGTGTATTTTCGGCTATGCCGGCTTTAACAATGCTATTCAATACTTCACCAACAGCCCATGACATTTCGTTGATTGAAATGCACCATAAATACCTGAAAAATAAACGCGATACAATCCTTGGCAGCATGAGGGGAAACTTCGGTCAAGATGTCTTTTCTAAGTCAATCATAGAAACCATAGAAATCGAGTAGGTTGGTATGGCAACAAACGGGTTCAACAGTGAGTTCGGTCAATTAACACCAAAGGATGGAATTGACTTGTTGAGTAAGTAGCCTTTAGCGAACTCAGTGTTGGGAAGCGAACTTTTGCCTTACAGGGATAGTTAACGGAAGACTTAAAGGCAGTATCACGAATCAGGGTGAATAACGGTCGAGGAATTTCCTCGACCATAGCTCTCTACCATGCGAGAGTAGTGCCGAGAGTGAACATCCGCGCGGAGAGCACAGACGGCACGGCATGGCGAGTGTGAATGTCCGCGCGAGAGATCGTCTCTGATCGGGCAGAGAATCCTCGACGTGCCGTTGAGGAATCCTCAAGCGATATTCACCCTGATGCACGATTATCCGAGGGCGGACTCTTGAAATGACGTCATCGGAACATTAATGCGGATAGGCTTCAACGTAGCGGTACCAAACATCTCAACCAACGCGCTAAGGTTTGATCACCAATGACGCTCGACAGATCGTCCATTCGTGATCACCTGTTCATGCACCCACTCTGCAGCCGTCCTAGCATGTGACAGTGTCGTAGCCGAACACGCGATGGGCCGAGATGCAAGTCCCGCGAACTCACCGTGTCATAAGGTAAACCAAGCTCATCACTGGGGTGGGCTCACTGATTATAATCTTGCCTGAAGCGATAAACTCTGGCGGGTACTGTCGGCAAAACTGACCTCGAACGGAAGAACCGCGGAAATCTGCGTTTGCGAATTGGGCGCTGTGCACTTGTGGGAATGAGAAGTAGAAGAAGAACGGCCGCTCCTTCTGATCCTGAAGAGAGTATTTTGAAGAGAATGACGGGTAGAGCTTTGTAATAACTGCTGATTTCGCTTGGACCTCTAGCGAGAAGCAAAGAATAGATAAACAAAGCAGTCACAGTGGAACACTCTGATCAAGTGACTTCTGCTGCTCGTGTTAATCGTATCCTTGTCTTAAGGCTTTCAGGTTAACCTTCAGAGAGATGAAAACAGTAAGAGGACTGACCGTGGTCATTCTCATGTTGAGAAATCGCCTCCAATCGTGGACGAGATTTTCCGTCATCCATTCAAATCTCAACGGTTGTTGAACAATATCGTCGCCGTCGTAGAGGAAACACATTGCCGCATCTGGTCCTTGTGGGATAGAATTCCTGAAAAGTTTCCTATTGATCCAAAAACTTTGCATGCTTGACTGAGATTTGTTTTTGCTTCAATTTTTCCTCGAACTTTTCAAATTACCGTATTATAATTGAACTCCTTCACACCCATTAATTATGGAGCCTGTAATTGTTGAGGTTTCGTTAGAGCTTTCAGGCCTCGTTCATTAGGGCTTCAGGCGTCTGGGAACTATTCGATGTAAGTCTGTCCGTCGGAAATTTATGAACTATGAGGTTGAGCCATGAGTAATGCCCGGCTTTTTTGAAGCATTGCCAATCTTGCGGAATTACGTTCATGAGGGTTTTCTCAATATGTTGGGACCTTCAGGGTTTCTCGCATCACAAATGAGACCCCACCGCTCCGCGGACATTTGTTTGCAGCTGTGAAGAATTTTTGTGGATCTCTTCAAGTTGCGGCCTCCTGTACATCTATTGTTACACGGAATGACCACTTCTTGTCGGAAACCAAAATTAAAGACCATAACGAAACTTGGCTCACTCAACACACACCTTCCCCTGCCCCCTCCACCTCCCCTCCACCACCCTACTATTACTACGTAGAAATCAATTATCGCTTGTTGGCACCCTTGCTCAAGTCCTGGTACGGTAGTAATCTACCTCAACTGCTATTTACCATGAGCTCATGGTAACCTGCTGAGGACCTACATCTGAAGTGTCCCAGAACATGTGTAGAGGACCTCTGAAGCCTCCTCTCAAGGTTTCTCATAGAATAGACTAAGTGAGTCCGAAGTCGCTCGAAAGAAGAGTGGTCTCATTGAGAGGCCGAAGGAGGATTGGAAAAACGCCTTCGTTGGTATGGGATTGGTCACGAGATCAATACCACAGGTCCAAAGCTTTGCAACCTTTGTGGGTTATTCCTTTTCTCTACAACTCTTTCACCATCGATAAGAAGGGCTCCATAGTGCAGTGGTAGCGATGCCGCTCATGGACGTTGCATCGAAGGTTCAAGCCCATGTGTGGCGCAAGTTTTGCAGACAATATGGGGAACCGACTCGAATTGACCACAGCGAATCGCCAGTGGCTCAAAGGGAACGTTCCACTTTGCAAACTCCAACTTCTCTCTTCGGAGATCCTCGGCATTGTTCTTATTGGATGTTATCCTCTTGCCAACGAGGTTGTTAAGTGGAGACTTTCATTAGTGGCCTGACGTTTCGACGAGATCGTCTTCCTCAAAGGCCTAA